TTGGTTGATTGTTCCCACTGTCAGAAAATTTCTCCTCCTTTCTAAGTTGAATCTCTCCTTGATCAGTTTCCATCCATGATTCCTTGTCTGGCCTTCATGTGCTTTGGAAAATAGCTTGATCCCCTCCTCTCTGTGGCAGCCCCTCAAATATTGGAGCACTACTATCATGGTCAACCTCCTCACTAGACTAATCTGCAAATTGGTGGGAGCAATGTTGCTAATCACATCCTTGCCCTTTTTTGTTTTTTATCACCTTGACATATGGATGTCTAAGGCTTAACATCCATATGTTCTTTTATATTACAAACTATTCTTAAACTTTTCTTTTATGGTCTTTAAAATGGAAAGGGATTGGGAAAAAAATCTAAGAGTTTTGAACTATTGACATTTCAATAGCAATACCACTTAGACTTATTTACCACCCCATAATGCTTTACCACACTTTCAGGACGAATTATAATGTCAGCATATTGCCCCCAACAATCTGGGTCCTCATTTTACCAACCTCAGAAGGGTGAAAGGCTGAATCAACCTTGAGCCCATCAAGATAAAACTCCAGGCTGTGGGCAGAGTTAGCCTGCAAACTGCATTCTAACCACTGTATTACCACAGCTCTTTAATCTCCAGCTCCGCTGTTTACATCACACAACTTGTAAAGTATACATCAAAATGTTATTTGAATTATAATTGATTTTTAAATTATACATTATTTTGTAACATAAATGTTGTTCCTAATTTGAGTTTACACCCTATTTTTTATAAGTTATTACAACAAAACTACTCTGCCTCATAATTCATGTGTTCTCCATAGGAAGCTTAGTGGTCAATTATCAGAATCACAATATAGCACTTGAAAACTCCTAAATAAAACTATGGAGAGCAATTTATCTTGACAATGCTACTTATTTGTTTATTGTATTATATTTATTAAGTTTAATCCCCTCATCACAAGGCGATAGCTAGCTATACTAACTGATCCAATTGTCTTAATCAAAAGGAGGATAATGGAAGGGAATATTACATATTGGAGAATTTGTGTCAGAAATTCTTTCAAGCAGAAGGCTGACAGATAGTTAGTATATTTTTGCTGAAAGAGATGATCATGGTTAAGGAGTAGAGCTTCAAAACTCAGATGAGTATTAGGTAACAAAGAAATAAGGGGTAAAATCCCATCATTATCTAGGAATATACCTTTTGACATTTTAACAGGACATCATATTGATTTAGGTTGGTGTCGTGCCAACATTTTTTTCAGGTTTCTTGCATATAAACGATCCAGCTTCTCTTAATGTAGCATCAGCAACATCTTTTTTAGATTTTTATTGCAGATCTGTCAGTGTGCTTTATCCACTTACTTTTGCAATAGTCAGCATTGCAGAATGGACCAATTATTTAACATAGCTGCCACAGAAAAGCTGACTCTGATTTCATCTTGCTCATGAAGGGCAATCCTGTGCACATAACCAAGTCATTTTCTCACAAATAACTTAGAAAAATGCCAAGTTCTGCCTTCTTTTTTTTTCATTACTAGAATGCTTCTTAAAGAAATACAAACACAATGAGCCAAAAACATCACAGCAAAAACATATCTCTCACAGGAACCACACATAGTGCTGAGATAGCAGTTATTTCATTACAATAGAGATCTCCAGGGTTACTGCATCAGATATCAAACTGGTGCCTTGGAAAGAAGCAAATCAGCACCCTGGCCTGACTAATACTTAGAAAAAAACATTAGATAATGTTAAATAAAAACACAATATTTAAAGAAAAGTAAGTTAAAGTGAGATTTTCCATAACCAATATAAAGCTTAATAGCCTACTAATTTGATCATTATAGAATATTAGAATCCTAGGCAGCTATGAGGAAGTAAAGGGCATAAATGATGACCATGATATAATACGCCATTTCTACACTTCTATCAGGTAGTCAAACACAAGTTGAACTGAAGCATTTGTGTTATTACATTATCACAAACAAAGGATCATTTCTGCATAATTGCAATTTGCTACAGAAGCTACTGATCAGAAATCATTGGAATAAAACCTGTACAGTGGTGCCTTGGTGCTTGACTACTTCAAAACTCATAGAATTTGGGACTCAATGCTGCAAAAGAAGCAGGGGTCAACTGCAGAGTATGAACAGGAAGTTGGCCATGCTGGGAAGGTTGATGCAAAAGGAAGCAGGGGACAGCCTCAGAGGATAGACAGGAAGTTGGTCATGCTAGGAAGGTTGCTAGCATAGGAAAAGAGACAGATAGGAATTTCTTCCTGGTCAAAACAAAGAGTCAAGTGATAAGTTATATACAGGGGTGGAATTCAAAATTTTTAACAACCGGTTCTGTGGGCGTGGCTTAGGTGGTGGGCATGGCTTGGTGGTCATGTTATTGGCTGGATGTGGCCAACTCAATATCACTCATATCAAGGCACGCATCTCTTCGCCTGGCCTCTCATGACTGTGGGGATGCTGCAACAGTCCTAAGTGTGAAAAATGGTCATAAGTCACTTTTTTCAGTGCCATTGTAACTTTGAATAGACACTCCACACAAGCAAAGTACCAGCAAAGGAGGGGGGGAAAAACTCCAGACACATTCCAGAGACAGGAAGTCTAGTCCTGCCAAGAACGTAATAAGGGTTAATGGAGAGGCAGTTTACCCACATTACGTATCTGATATTAGCACAGTTGAGAAAGTCCAGAAATATTTCACAAGAAGAGTTCTCCACTCCTCTACTCGTTGTAGAATACCTTATGCCACCAGACTTGAAATTCTAGACCTAGAAAACCTTGATTTACTTGAATCTGATCTAAGTATGGTATGTAAAATCATACATTGCAATGACTTACCTGTCAATGAATACTTCAGTTTCAACCATAACAATACAAGAGCACACAATAGATACAAACTCAAGGTTAACCACACCAAACTTGATTGCAGGAAATATGACTTCAGCAACAGAGTGGTCAATGTCTGGAATACTCTACCTGACTCTTTGGTTTCTTCCCCAAACCCCAAAAAGTTTAACCTTAGACTGTCTACTATTGACCTCACCCCTTTCCTAAGAGGTCTGTAGGGGGCGTGCATAAGCGCACCAACGTGCCTACCAGCCCTGTCCTATTGTTTCTTTATTTTTCTTATATGTACCCATTTCATGTATTCATAACTATGTATATACTTATACCTATTATCTTGTAAGCAACTGACAAATCAAATAAATAAATAAATAAAAATGAATAAATAAATGGTTCTTAAGTCCCAATATATCACGGTATACACTCAATTATAGGAATTTGTCAGTTCTACCTTGTATTTTAAAACATAAGAAACATTCTCCATTTATGAAAGAGAATTGACACATTTGACTTAGTAATTCTGAAAGCAATTTGAATTTATTTTTAAATATTATGTTACCCTGAATTATTTTGAATTATACAAATGTTCCCTGCAATGGTAAAGTATGACATTTGTAAGTAGGTAGCAGTTTATCTATATTTTCAGAAAACAGAATGCAAAATATTGACAATTTAATACAGTAAGATAACTTTGGATTTTCAGGTCCCCGTATAGATTGATATAAGCAAGATAAATACTAACAACCTTCCCCATGATTTATTTATACTTTATAGAACTGCACACTCAGTTTATTTCATATGTTATAATGCTGCCCTATTAGGATTGATGAGTAGTTTACTGGTAATATTATTATAGCTTTTTCAAAATGGAATGGTGTGTTAGTTCTAACCTCTGTCACCATATCTGCTGTTGTCCCTAAAATGTTGGAAAAATATGTGAGGCAGGAGGCATTCTGGGTTTATCTCTTCAGTCAACTGATGACTCTACATGTGGAACTATAGGAGTGTAAAAAGACTCCCTGTTGCAAACTATTTATTCCACACCTTGTGGAATAAAATGAGATGTTTCCCCAATTATGTTTTTGAATGCGGTATCAATCCCTCATGCTACATATGGAAAGTGGCATATAAATATGTCTTTAATATTGTTGTTGAGATACCATTTCTGTTATGAAATGAAACCAGTAGGAGATTTTAGTGATCAGAATAAGTTATATCATATACTGTATCTACTATAGCTCTCTTTAGAGGGAACAGTCAGTCACTATGAACGTCCAGAGTTTGCCAGCTAAGCCAATTGTCTTAAGGTACTATTTGGTAGGACTATAAAAAAATAAGGTAATGAACTAGAATAGCATATTCATCTTCACTGTTCTCTCTTATATGTACATTTTTTATGTTTAAATGCCTTTTTTTCCAGCTACATAAAAAACAACTTTTCACTCCATGGAAACAGGTGATCCTCAGTTCTACTTTTGCATACATTAGAACTTCAATCGTAATTTGTAAAAACTGAAAGCTTCTAAAAAAATCCAAGTTTATAATAAATTCTCCTTAAAATTTCCTTGTCCTCATATGTGAAGGTCCTCTAGCCACTTTGCATCTCACAGGCTCCAAAAATATTTTAGGTGTATTTCTTGTCCAGCAGATTTCCCATTACTACTTTACATTTTGATTTATCTCTTGCCAGGTACAAAGGTAAATTGATCCATAATTTCCAGCACTTGGAAGTAACTATAAGCTAAACAACTGAAAGTATCAATGTGCAATTTCATTGCAATTTCGCTAGTAGCACATCAAAAAATAATGCAAAGTTGAAGATTAACATTTACAGCCCTGGCTTTTGAATATGTACATATGTTATCTTGAAAAATATTATCTTCTGGACATTACTATCATTAGTACTTTTTCTTTGGATATAAAGTCTACTATATGATGGAACCTAGAAATGAAATTATTAAATGCATTATGATTAAAGCCTTTTGTTTTTTCATGTCTTATGATGTAAACCTCTGGAATCATTGAGTCCAGCAGTATATAAAAATAAATAATTAACTAGAATCATCTTAATTATATACCCATCCTCAAATTATAACTATTATTCTCAAAATTACAGGAAACTGGCAGCAATTTCAGTTCCCAGATCAAAATGAATAAAAAAGTGGGATTCAAGAAGACAAACATCCCTTTTAAGAACTATGAACTTTTTCTCACTGTTCTATTTATAATCTCCCTATGTATTTGTATTGTTTTATTAACATTTCTATGGTTGTTCAACAAGACAACTGAACAAGGTAAGAAACTACAACTTTGTAATTAGTTCTATGTTGAAAATGAACAATCTTAAATTGCTGTTGATATATACAGTATTTAATTGCTCATATTGTTTGATACTGTAATGACTACTTGAAAAAAGCTACATATTAAAAGCAGACATTCTACCCTGGAAGTTTGTAACAGCATGATATATTTATAAGATATTGATTAACTATATATCTGAGAAGTTAGTGCTATATTTAATTTATTTTAAACAAACTTTAAAAATATGTTCTAATTATCATTTTTTGTATACCAATCAATGGTAAACTGCAAAAAACTATTTATAAAAAAACTGTTTCATGCCTAAGAGAAGTGTTAATCTTTCATTCTAATAATACTCTGAAAGTATTAGCTTCCTAATATCATACCTCATACTAAAATTGTCTGCCTATTATTGCTCTCTCACTAGTATCTCAGCAATATTAATCCAACTTGAAACTATTGATTTACATGACTAAAGCCATACATATTTTTATATGTATTATATCAGTTTTCTATGGTTTTATTAGTATGAATTAAAAACAACTCTAAGCCTCTTCTTAGGTCCAATATGGTCTATGTCAGAGGTTTCCAAACTTGGCAACTTTAAGACTTGTAGACTTCAACTCTGAGAATTCTGAGAGTTGAAATCCACAAGTCTTAAAGTTGCCAAGTTTGGGGACCCCTGGTCTATGTAATTCATTAAAGTAAATAAAACAATACAGCAAGATTGATGAAATTTAAATTAATAACTCAGTTTATATCATATACCTATCAGCACTGTATTATAAAGGAGGCTAATATAAAGAAGTCATTTTATCTGACAATAAAGCACTAATATAATTCTCAGTATGTGAATAGGGTTGGTTGACCATATATTTAGATCTGTAAAAGATAACACAACACTATTTTCCAGAAACATGAATCTAAGTGTTCTCAATTTGTATCAACTTCATAAACTTCTAAACATCAGACCTGGCTTTTTAAAAAATACATATTCTCCCACAACCACATCCTGGTCTTCAACTGTAGCATCATTAGTACAGAATAGTTCAGTTGTTTGTGTTCTGTCTGAACTGAGAATAGTCTTGGAGTTTCTGCTTATGCTGTTGTCAGAATGGATCATCCATTGTTTCCCGAGTACAGAAAAATATGATGTCGCTCTCCATTAGGTCCCATGATTTGAATTGTTTTGTGTTCTAAGTTGTCTTAAGCCCTTTTAAACATAGGGTTTTTGATCTAGCAAGAATCTATCTGATTGACTACAACATTTGCCAAAGCTCCCTCACCTCCTGTAGTTGATCATTAATCTGTGTAGCCATTTCATTCTGGCCAGATAGGCTCCTATGTTCTCTGCTTTTTAAATGATATTATTTACAGTTGTTCCAGTGATTGTTTATTAATTCAATAAACTTTCTTTGACTCAGGTTTTCTCACCCTTTCACTGCATCTAATTCTTACATCTTCCACCTTTTGATTTCTATCCAAGTTTGGAAAAGTACACTTGCATTACTTCAATGCAATGGTGGGATTCAAACAATTTTACTACCGGTTCTGTGAGTGTAGCTTGGTGGGCATGGCATGGCTTGGTGGGGGCATGGCTTGGTGAGCATGGCAGGGGAAGGATACTGTAAAATCCCATTCCCTCCCCACCCCACTAACCTGCTTTCCATTCTCCTGTGCAGGGCAACAAAAGAAGACCCAGCTAATCAGCTGGGACTCAGGAGGCAGAGAATAGATGGGGGCAGGGCCAGTTAGGTAGTATTTGCTGGTTCTCTGAACTACTCAAAATTTCTGGTACCAGTTCTCCAGAACTGTCAGAACCTGCTGAATACCACCTCTGCTTCAATGCTAGAAATAGAATGAAAACTGTTTATAATGACAATATATACAATTAAATATTTATTCCATCTCTATTTGCATGAATCCATCCATTCATATCTATTCATAGATAGAAAAAATGCAAAAAAAAAAGTCTAAACTAATAATAGAATGAGAGAAACAATTTGCTTTCTCACTATCCTTTTTTTTAAAATCAGGACTAAAAGACCATGAAGCAAAGGGAATATTTACAATAAAATCAGGAGCATTGTTCACCCCTGCTTTGCAAGATAAATCATCAGTAGACTTCAAAGTTCTTGCCTTTGATGTTCAGCAAATGGTAAAGATAAACTTATTTTTACTGAATTATTTCTGTATTTCCACCTTCCCTTTTTTGATTAAATAAGTCAATGCCCTATCAATATATGTGAATGAATGTGCAAGTGAGAAGAATATAAAAGCAATACCACTTAAACTTATGTATGTTTTACAGCCATCTCTAAGAGGTTTACAGAGTCAGCATATTGCCCCCACCAATCTAGGTTCCCATTTTACTGACCTCGGAAGGATGGAAGCTGAGTCAACCTTGAGCCAATAACAGTCAAACTGCTGACAGCCAGCAGAATTGGCCTGCAAAACTGTATTCTACTCATTGTGCCACCATGCATGTGCATGTATAAGTCCATAAGAGATGGCATGTTCTGTGTTCATCAATTAAAGGTAATCCCTTCCCTGTTGTAGTGACTTCTCTATTATCTGCCTGCAATGTCACACTCATAGACATAGAAGACTTATTCAAGCCTATGTGCAAGACGTCTTTTTAAAAGGTTTTAACTATCTAAATATTCCCATAGATATTGAATTAGATTGACATACAAGCCCACTTTAAATGTAAATATATAATGTTGCTGACAAGTATGGTCAGGTATGTATTTTATTTTTATATTACTGCTTTTAAATTTTGATTTTTTAAAAACCTTTTTGCTGTTCAAAGTTTCTCTACAATAGAATGGCAATATACTGCAGGTTAAATAATTACATAGAACTACAGTATAGACAGAAAAGTTTAGAAAGCAAGCAAATTCAAAAATGGTATATAGTATACAATATTACAATGCTAAGAACAAATAAAACATAGAAAAGAGCCTGTCTAGAGAAGGAAACCATGTGAGCTAACCAAAGAATATTCTTATAAGAGATTTGCCACCCACCATAATTCAAGGCCTGAAGGGATAACCAGGTTTTCAAACATTTTTAAACACAGTCATGATGGGAACTATAAGGGCCACTTAGATGACATTGGTTGTGGAATTCAGAACATGAGCACTTGTCCAAGTTAAACATGTCATAAGTTTACAGTTCTTTACATTGCCACAAGAGATCCGAATCTAGTCCCGTTGAATTCCGTTGATGCTTATCTATTGCCAATTTAGTGCTGACCATAGATTGATTCTTGCTCATAGGCTTGAATAAATCTTCTATGTTGAAAAAGGTTTCAACATAGAAGATTTATTCAAGCCTATGTGCAAGAATGGTCCTGATTATTTGCCCCTGACAGTCAATTGATATAAATCAATTAGTGTATGCATATGTATGTGTGTATCCTTTTCCTTCATGGTCATTATTTTTGAGCAGAAAAATGTAACTGCTGAATTAACCAAAGTTTATCTGTCTGTCTGTCGGATCAGCTTTCTTTTCTCTATTTATATATATATCTACATCAACAAAGCCATGATATTATTTAAAAAATATTAATTTGTAAGAAAAAAACCTGAATATTTCTTATATTTCTTGCCTTTATAGGAAGAGGAGTTCAGGGGATTTTTTTTAGATATCACTTTTTATATTTTTTATATTAGAAAAATATAAAATATATTCTACAATGTTTTATATTGTTCATCTTTGTATATTTAGATAGATGATATGTTACATGCAAGTGAACTTCAAAATGATTATAAGGGAAGTAAAGTTACACAGTTCAGGTAAGTTCATTTTGTATAAAAATTAATATTAGGATGGACATTATGTGCACATGTTTGAAATATTACTGAAATCATAGGATCTCTCACACTAGCATTATGTTTATTCCTCTTCATCTGCTTCTAAGACTACAGTTTTAAAATTCATACGTCTTATGCTCAGTATAGATTCTGTTCTATGCTCTATAGGAAAATTGGAGTAAATTTTCCTTATTTCCTTATTTCTTAATGAAAGAGTAGTAGTAAAAATAAATGAAAATTAAGGAAAGAAATCAAAAGTGGGGGGAAAGTTCCTTTGCTTTCCATTCATCAGCCCAAAGGAATCCATTCCTGGATGAAGCATACTTATAAATTATGAGCTATAATATAAGTGATCCTTAACCTAGAATTGTGATTGGAACTTCCATCACTAAGTGATGCAGTCATTAAGACGCACTTGATTTTATGATCTTTTTTTCCATGGATGTTAACTCATTAAATGAATTATGCCACTATTAAATGAATGTAGTTTCTGCCTTCGAATTTGCTTGTCAGAAGTCCCTGGAAAGATCATAAATGGTGATCATAAGACCGTGGGGCTCTGCAACTATCATAAATACATGCCAATTACAAGCACCCAAATTTTGATCACATGAATTTTGTGCAATGACCATAAATGGGAGGACTGCTCATAAGTCAATGTTCAGCAGTGATGTAACTTCAAACAGTCATTAAATGAATAATCGTAAGTTGAGAACTACCCATAGAACCATACTGGTCTGGTACGATTTGGTAAAAAAAATATTTTATTACTTTCTACTCTAGAGGCAAAAGAAAGAGTGACTGATCCCAAATCATCCAACCTAATAAGCTCTGTCCTCCATAACAGAGAACTGGCTATCCCAGTTCATAACCACTCTTTTTACCTATCACAAAATTATGGAGGATGAATTTCTCCAGGAATCATTTTCTTTAGTCCATATCCTAATCAGATCTGTTAAGAAATAAGATGCGTTTCCTCATCATTCATTTTAACAATCATTGAATACCTTTGCTAATGTTATTAAAATATAGAATCACCATTCTCAAGTTCAGTAGTTTTAATTGTCAGATTATTTTATATATGCTATAAATTAAAGAAGAGGGCAAATGTTTGGCTTTAATAAAAATGAAAGTATGTATTTGCTAATGTTTCACCAACCAGGATCATCTTTCTCAAGTTCCACAGGATTAGCTATCCCATTATATTAATAAAAAGTTAAATAAGAGGGTAAATCTTTTACTTGAATAAGAATGAAGATATGCTGTATACAGACAAACATCTCCACAGCAATATCCATTTCAGTATTCTAAAACTCTCATTCATAGTCTAGTCCAGAATTCTTGAATTTTTGATGAAATCTTGTCCAAATCATAACCACTCTCAAGTCTGTTTAGCTTTTAACATTAGACAATCTCAGCTTGGTTTTATATTCCTCATTTCAATTAACAGACGGATTATTGTGATAGTGCTCTAAATCCATGTAATCATCATAGACCAAAACATGATTTTAAACATGACAGTAGAAATCATATTATGCATATAATTTGTAGAGGTTTTTATCTTTCACTTCTCAAGTTATGAGGTTCATGAAATCTTTCTTCATACATAGTACTTACAAGTGATAAAAATAGGAGTCTACTCTCATACACTTGACATAAAATTCTGTGTGGTTTAGTTCAGGTTTCGATTTTAGCTTTATTAAGTGTGTAAACATTGATACAGAGCAAAGTACTAAAATCAAGTTAATTTTAATTCAGAAAATTACACTCAGTTGTCATGCTTATTAGTACTTAGGCTGCTATATGCAAAAAAGCCACTTATTGACAGGTTTGAATAACATCTAATATTATACTAAAAACAATAAACCAACAAACAAGCAACTCTATTTTGTTCTTTTCCAAATGTAAATCATCAGAGTAAAATATTTTTAATATATTTATATTAATAGATTAATATAAGGGACAATTAATATGGGATATAATTAAGCACTGACATAGTCTGCTGGTTAATGTGGCTTGTTTGGCTTTGGTTTAACCTGCTGTGTGCACCTTGCCTTTGCATTCTTAAAATCATAATTTAATCAGTAAACCATAGGTTAACAAAGTGTGATTTAATTGTGAAATGTGACCCTTTAGAATGGCTGATCAATATTTAACAAGAACAAGCAGTTCTTGTTGAACTGATTGCAAACCAAACCCACTCAACTTGTAGAACTTTGATTTCATTACTTTTTTGTCTGCAGAACATGTATCCTTTTAATTCAAAGAACATTTCCTTGCAATTTTTCTATTGAAAACATGTATTGTATTACAATGTTCTTTGTTGCAATCTGATTTCATATTTGAAATTCTGATAAGTCAGAAACATAGCATAGAAATAATTGCCTAAAGCATTACAGTATATGAATCATTTAAGAAATTAAAGGAAAAGTCTTTGAATATACTGCACCTTCCCTTTGACCTTAAAAGAATTAATCATCTCTTAGTCATTGCTGCCTCAGTGACAAAATACTGATATAGGTCTTTAAAATGACTAAAGGTCACTGGCTCTGTAACTAAAACAAATGCTTCTTTACATCAACAGAAAAAATATATATAGTTACCACTATCCTCAGTCCTATTCTTGCTAGAGAAATTGATACAGAGAATAACTGACAATAAGAAAATCAAACTAATATGATGATGGCAATAGATGAAGTTATCTAGTTTAGATAAACTGTAAGATGCTAGATAATTTTAATAGTCTGCAAGGAAAAACCAAGCTCAGAGGGTAGCAAGGACCCCTCATTTGTGGAAAATGCCAATGTTCCAGTTAAAGGATAGAAGACGAAAAAGATATGTCACATCAACAACAATATATAGAAGACAAACTAAGATAAAATTTACTACATTTTTAGACTCTCAGAGACTAAGTGGACTTATCTCAGGGTAATTTGGCAACATCAATAAATCATATTTTAAATAGCATCCTTTGATCTTATTTCTTGGCTGCACTGGATAATATTTTTAAAGATTAATAAGATACAATAAAATGAAGTACAAAACTACTTATTTCACTTAAAACAATGCCACATAGTCAAGATAAAGCTATAAGCTAGGATAGTCCAACCATGTGGGGGTTACAAATAGCATGTTAACATAACAGTCTTCAAGAATATAATATGTAATATACCTGGTGCTCTCATGAATTTCTATGGAGTGGCAACATGATTAAAAAGAGTTATTTTATAGTTCCATGGTACAACTCCTTCAGAAAATGTATTTCCAATGAAAATAAAGGTGAGGTATTGAGCAATTAATTAATCTTATGTTAAAACCCCACGTCTTTTGGAAAATTGATTTTGTTAATGTCAATTTATCAATGGACATACATTTTAAATTTTATTTTTTTAAATTAAAGTTCAAGTTTAAATTGTAAAGTGTAATTTAAATTATTTTAAAGTTAAATTTAAAAAGTATATCATGTTAATTACTTTCAACCACTGCACTTCAATTATTTGCAATTTGTACTCCTTTATTCCTTACTGTGTATCTATATAAATGTATAAAGGAAAAGGGGCAAGTAATAACTGATCATCATCCTGGATTCTGTGGATTTATCTGTATCTAAATTTTAAATTTATTTTTTTACATATAATCATGATTTCCTCATTGGTCTTGGACTGGTTAAGCAGATTGTTAAACTTACAATAGTTTTAATATTAATTAGTTCATTTATTAATATCATTGCCTGATTGTAAACATGATTTCTACCTATGTAAGACAGATGTCTGATTCCATGTCTTTTTTAATTAATATGTTTAAGAAAATAGGAAGCTATTATATTAATATAAGCCATTGTCCTATTTATGTGATCTCTCAATTGAAGAGTAGCTTGGCCCACTCATTCCAACCGAAGAGGCTTGCTATAGGTCCCATCTGCTGAGAAATTCAAGCAGGCAGGTTCTAGGAGAAGAGCCTTTTCTGCTGTGACCCCATCCCTGTGGAATACTCTACCACTGAAGGCAAGGACTACTCCAGTGGTGGTATTCAGCCAGTTTGCACCGGTTCAAATGAACCGGTAGCGTGAGTTGCAGAACTGGTAGTAACTTCTGGCTGGCCACGCCCCCAACCCAGTCGCCCAGTCGCTGCTCACTTACTTGCCCCACCCACCCAATGCTCGCTCACCCTGGCTCACCTGCCTGATGCACGCTGCCCGGTCACTCCTTAAAGTATTTCTTTTTTTTTCCCCTCCTGACAATCAGCTGTTCCTAATATCAGCTGTGCTGAGATTCCTCTCACTTATTTACTGCTTTGCCAAGGAGGCTTCCCTGAGGCCCAGGAAGGCAAAAATGGAGGGAGGCACAGCCCCCCACCCCCTCCATCTTTTGCCTTCCTGGGCCCCAGGGAGGCCCCAAAATGAAGCATGGGGAGTTCTGTGTGCCGCTCCTATCCTCCGTTTTCTGACTTCCTGAACCCAAGGGAAGCCATCTGGGAGCAAAAACAGCCCCCCCCAGGAGACTTCTCTGAGGCTCAGAATGCCCCAAAACGGAGTGCAGGGGAGTGCTGAGTGCCCCCCCCATCTTCCTTTTTTTGCCTGACTGAGCCCAAAGGAAGCCTTCTGAGAGCAAAAATGCCCCCCAGGAGGCTTCTCTGAGGCCCAGAAAGCCCAAAAAACAGTGCGGGGATGTTGCAAAAAAAAAACCACGCCCACCCAGTCACATGGCCATGCCCCCTAGCCATGCCTACAGAACCAGTAGTAAAAAAAAAAATTGAATCCCACCACTAGACTACTCCCACCATTTTGGCTTTCTGGAACAGTATTGAAACATGGCTTCGCCAATTGGAAGGGCCCTATATACAAACTGGCTCTCTAAGTTAATCAAAGTGGGTGGAAAGCAAGCATGTTTTAAACAAAAGAATATTTTAAGATTTCACATAAAAATACACCACCACCCCTTTTTGTTGCCTTTTAGCCTTTAAATTTGTTACAAACAATTTCAGTGTTATATAGTTAGGTGTATATGATGTTATAAAAAAGGAGGAAAATTCAAGCCATTAAGAATCATGCTAGTTTAGTGCCATGATTCTGGTTATTCATCTGTTATTCAATAAAAATTAATGTATGTTTGTATACTAATTTTTGTTGTTGTTTATCTCTGTCCAGAAATGGCAGTGTAATTGTACTCTTCAAACTTTTCTTTGTACGGTGGGTGTCTGAAGTAAACATAAAGAATGCGTTGGTGTATGGCATCAAAGAGAATAAAAGTGAACTCTTACAGACTTTTAACATTGATGTGAACAGTATAGAAATAACAGGTAATCCACATTTTTTTAAATACAGGAAAGTGTTTTTTAATTGGTTATTTTCTGCTGATTCTTGCTTTGATACTGGCATCTTCACCACTGTATTTATGTTCATACCAACACTTTCTGTTGCTTTCAGAATTAACCATTGTAAAATATTTATGATCCCCACATGCATAGATAAATAGATAGATAGATAGATAGATAGCAGATTATATATATATGTGTGTGTGTGTGTGTGTGTTTTCTTAAGTTTTCGCGGGTACTTACCTGAATGGTATTCAGCTTTGTTCGGGTATTTTCCCATGTCATTATAGTTGTGCTTTTAAAGTTGTAGCAAAAACATATATACATATATACATATGTATATATAACAATACAGAAGCCTGATGATGGCAGATGAGATTCTGCTGAAACGTTGCTACAACTTTAAAAGCACAACTATAATGACGTGGGAAAATACCCGAACAAAGCTGAAGGCCATACATATACATATATACATATATACATATATATATATATATATATACACATATATACATATTTGTTTTCTGAGGTTCTCGCGGGTATTTGTATGTGGATCTTTGGTTATTCGGGTTTTCTCCCGCGTAAGATTGGAAGTATCTAGGCAACGTTTCGATGAAGTCTCATTCATCATCTTCAGGCTTCTGTCTTCAGCTCTGTGCTTCTCAGAGTGATGTGAGCTTGCAGCTGCTTCTTCCTTTTAACTGCTAGTGGGGGTGTGACTTGATTAGGTGGGGGCTTGGCTGTGTTCTGATTGGGTGGGGGTGTGTTCTCATTGGTTGGGGGTTTGGCTGTGTTCTGATTGGTTGGGGGGTTGGCCATGTTCTGATTGGCTGGAGGTGTGTTCTGTTCAGGTGGGGGCTTGGTTGTGCTCAGGTTGGTCTTAGTTACTGGGGGATTTGAGCTGGTGAGCTGTGATCTTGCTGTTTGGCTTCGAGTTCGTGGTCGTGCTGCATCTTCATGGTGGGGGTCAGTTCGCTTCATGTATGGCTCAGAGGGGTTTGAAGTGGGTAGTGATGCAGCTGCAGTGCGGCTTCTGGTCTGTGGTCGTGTCTCATCTTCTGTGTGGGTGTGAGTCTGCTTTTTATGTGGAAGTGTTGTGGTGGCATCTCGTGTGGCCCTCGTGGGTGTGGGTCTGGTGTCATTCATCATGTTGGGTACTCGTCTGTTCATGAGGGCGGGTTTCCAAATGGCTGGTAAGCGGGAGGTGTCATCTCTTTTATTCATGCTGTGTGGGCGTTTTTCTATCTCTATGGCTTCTCTGATTATTCTGTTGTTGAAGTGTTCGGTTTTGGCGATAAAATATTTGATAAAAATATAAATAAAATATTTGATAAATATTTATATATAATAAAAACTATTTTTATTATAATAAAAACTATTCCAAGTTTCAAACTCACGATTGGCTAGAAGGTGAAACATTTTTCCAGCAAGAATGAAATATTAATAATATGGTCTCACATGACTACATGACTATGTGAATCTGGGAGTGGGGGAGAGACTTCATATTCAATAAAACGGCTTAAAGGGGTTTACAAAGTATTTTTTTCATATTTTAAAGATAAGTACTGAGCCTTAAAACTCTGATCCAAATGTTATTTGAGATTCAGGATCTGCTGTTCTTCTTTTTCCAATGAACCTGGTGATTATGAAACACTGAGGTGATTTATTTAGTTCATAACATATATACAATTTTTTCTCTATTTTGTAATCAGTGATGTTACCTAGTTTGAGTAATGAAATGTCTGCAAGAAAATAAGCAAGCTCAGAGAGTATCAAGGACTCCTCATTTCAACCCTGAGCTACAAATATTCTCCCTTATTTTGTAATTGCTATAATCCATGCAACTTTAAAAAAAAATATTTTATAGCATATATTGTGTAGGAATATTTAAAGTATCATACTTTATATTCAAATTTTGAACTCCAAACTGAAATTACTTGGGGAAAAATCCATCACTTAGCATAAATTTCCTCCTTACTTGTCTTTGGTTCCTATATATGAATTGCTCTCTTACAGTTTATCTCACATGGCTGAAATTGTTTTAGTTAATGATACAGAAACATTTTCATTTCTTTTATCAACTTAACTTAGAAGATCAAATTCTAAACAGTGCTGTGTATAATTCAATGGTAGGTTAGAAGTTTAACAATATCAAGATGTAATAACATATAATATATTGAAGGAATATAAAGTCAGGAAGCTGAACAAAATTACAATCACAAGCAAAAAAAATGTTTACTTTGATTTTATTTAGAAATAATTGCACAGGGAGAGGCTGTTCATTTGCTTTATTTTCTGTTTCACTAATTTTGGAATATTTACTAACAACCCTTTCGTAACACCTCGTTAATAAGAATAAAATTCATTCACTTTTTGCATTATTGTATAAAGTGAAAATAATAAATACCAGTTAAGTTAGAAACAAAGCAGAATTTTTATGATTTATTTAAAAAGTCTGTTTGGTTCATTTTGCAGATTTGGGAATATCTACTTCAAGCAGTCCTTTGACAACATCCGGTTAGTCAATACAAAATGCATATTATTGTTTTATTAATTAATGAAAACCCCTTGAGAAAATTATCCCTTTTTTCTTTATTTTGTTTGATTTATTTTGCAGATTTGGAAATATTTAGTACAAGCAGTCCTTCAACAACTTCTGGTTCGTAAATATAGAATGTACCACTGCACTGGAGAATTTTTTATTCTATTAATTAATAAAAACAGCTTTTAAAAAATTAACTTTTTCTTTTGTTGTTTGATTCACTTTCCAGGATTGGGGATAACTAGTACAACTATTTCAACAACACCTGGTTAGTAAATACAGATTTTATTAAGTACACAAAAACTTAGGTACGGTATATGGAATCCCCCAACTTTTTAAAATAAAATTGCTTTGTGAAAAAATTTTCATATTAGTTTTAGTTTTGTAATTGAAACTTTCACTTTCCAGGGCTAAGCACAATAAATACAAGTTCTGATTTCATTTAAGTTAATATATAGATTGTGACATGATAAAAAAAATAAAACACATTAAAATTCTGGGTATACAAATTGTATTTATTTAATTTTCCAACTCAAACATACATAGTCATTTTTTTTAAAGTACACTAATGTCCTTTTATCTATTTTTATAACAAAAATAATCTGTGTTTCTTCTAGAATATATCTATTTCTGCGTATAATTACAAATAATTTTCATTATTTTATATCACATTCAAATACTGGATTCGGGAATATTACTCTTTTTCTGTAACAGTGAATTGATTTCTATCTATTTTAGTAATTGGAACATATAACAATTGGTAAATATTTAGATAAATAAGCCTCATTTTTAAACTTACATTTCAACATGAGTTTGTTAAATGAATCTCTCTCTCTCTCTCTCTCCCTCCCCCCCCCTCCGTGTGTGTGTGTGTGTGTGTGTGTGTGTGTGTGTGTGTGTGTGTGTGTGTGTGTGTGTGTGTGTGTGTGTGTGTGTG